AGCGCCCCATTCCCCATCCCGCTGAGCCAGCCAGTCCCTGCCCTGGGCCCAGATGGGAGCCGGTGCCCCCTAGAGGGGACAGGCCCAGCGCCCCATTCCCCACCCCGCTGAGCCAGCCAGTCCCTGCCCTGGGCCCGGATGGGAGCCGGCACCCCCTAGAGGTCCAATTCTCCACTCCCGTATTGCTGGGCTCACCGGGGCTCTGGTCTGGCGGGGGCTGGAGCCGGCGCTGCCGGTGCCGTTGAGCAGGTCGCCCGGGCCTCGGTTCTGGGTGGCCGGCAGGGGGCTGAGGATGTTGAAGGGGACGTAGCCCTGCTGGCCGGAGCGGTTCTGAACCTTCCACCACTTCTTGGTGTCGTCCAGCACCTGGAGGGAGAGACGCTGAGCCACGGGCACTGTCCCGGCCGGGGCGGGGAGGTGTGTCCTGGCGCTGCAAACTTCCCCCCAGCGCTGTGAGCTTCTCTCCCAGCAGTGCCTCCAGCCAGGAACTCCTGATGTTGCGCCCTTCCCCCAGCAGTGCCCCGGTGCTGTGAGCTTTCCCCCAGCAGTGCCCCCAGTTGGGGACCCCTGATGTTGCGCCCTTTCCCCAGCAGTGCCCCCGTTCTGTGAGCTTCCCCCCAGCAGTGCCCCCAGCCGGGGACCCCTGACATTGCGCACTTCCCCCCCTGCCAGCAGTGCCTCGGTGCTGCGAGCTTCCCCGCAGCAGTGGCCCCAGCCAGGGAAACCCACAGACAGACTCACCTCCAGAAGCTCCCCCTGCAGGACAGACAGTTCATTGCTGTTCCTGGCTACAAAGTCATACTTGCAGCTCACAAGCCTGCCGTCTTCTGTCTGTCTGTGGCTGGGGGGAGAGGGGAGGAAAACTGGGTCAGGGGGTGGGGGATCTAGTGGAGAGAGCGGGGGGGGGAGAGGGGCTGGGAGCCAGGACTCCTGGGTTCTCTCCCTGGCTTTGGGAGGGAAGAGGGGTCTAGTGGTTAGAGCAGGGGGGCTGGGAGCCAGGACTCCTGGGTT